CCATTATTTATCAAATTGTGGTTTAGAGTTCAAGGCACACCGTTTTCTCTATTTATTTTTATTTTTATTTTTTAAATAATAAATCTTGCCTCTAAATTAAAGACTTTCACCATAAATTTATTTTAGGTTTTAAAATTAATTAAAAGATCCTCCAATAATATTAGTTTTGCACTTAAAGATTCAAAAGCAAAATGTCTGAGATTATAAAATAATTATTACTTAATTATTTATTCGTTTTGTATATTTGGGTTCTCATAGAAAAAAGTACACTAATGAGTTTTTAGTTTTTTTGTGTCACATCATACTTATCATGTTGACGCATTTGAGCCACATTGTCACATTTAAAAAATAAATAAAAAACGTATACTAACGAGTTTTTAATTTTTTTGGAGTGTCACATTATAGCTATCACGTTATCACATTTGAAAAAAAGTGTAATAAGGAGTTTTTAGTTTTTTTGGTGTGTCATATCATACATGCCACGTTGTTACATTTAGAAAAAATACACTAAAAAGTTTTAAATTTTTGAGCAAAAGATTTAGAATATCACATGATACCCGCCATGTTGTCACATTTAAAAAAAATACATTAAGAATTTTTTTAATTTTTTAAAGTGTCACATCATATCCGTCACGTTGGAGTGTGACATTAATATCTGTCACACTAATAAAAAGGTATAGTCGTCCACTGAAATACCATCAAAATCGAAAATAGAACCATACGAGAAGAAACTATTCACTAATAAGACTTAATAAATCAATAGTACAAATTTTGTACTAATTAAAGTACTTATTTGTGAGATGAGACTTATTAATAAATATTCCTAAATTAAACACACTCAAATTAAATGGAATCCAATCCCTATAATTATGAGCTGATAGAGTTGGATGAGGCAATTAATCAAACAACTGGCGTGCATATTGCATAATGATGGAGATGTTGGTAACTAGGTATTGGGTATGAACCCAATTATTTCGGTCATGGGAAGGGTCGTATTAGTTGATGTTTGGTTGCAGAGTTGAGGAGAAAGACGAGGCGGTTGGTGGGTGAGACCAAATAAAGGGTCTGATTGTGGGCGGTCTGTCATTCAATTTTACACGTAAAATATTCGATCGCATAATTGAATATAACTCTCCCATGTGTTATGTACATATCTGACTATGTTATTAAATTTTTATCGCTTAAAATCTTCCAAACTCATATAGGGGGTGTTTGGCAATAAGAGGTTTAGGCTATTATAGCCTCTTTTACAAAATTAGCCCATAAGCCCCTACTGTAGCACCTTTTTCTCTGATTTTCAAAAAAAAAAAAAAAAAAAAAAAAAAAAAAAAAAAAAAAAAAAATAGGCTGCTGCACGGGACAGTGTAGGCACAGCCGCACAGTGTTACATCAAGGGCAAAATTACCATTTTGCCCCTTTATATCAATTTTAAAAATAAAAAAGTTAGGGATAAATCTGTCATTTTAAATTTAAACATCATTTCAACACACTTTCCAATACAACAACTCAACTAAAAATTCATCTCATCTTCCCAAACACAAAACTAAAATAACCTACTAAAATAGCCAAATAACCAAATAGCCTACTAAAATAGTCACTTCCCAAACGAGGCCATAGTCTTTGCCGTCTTAAAGTATCTTCAATACTTCATCTTTATACTTAAAATTATCTCAAATTATTTCACCAAATTTTTATCAAATCAAAGGAGAGGTTTTTTTTTTTTAATCAAATTAAGAATTTATCAATTTAAATCCTAAACTTTTGATTTGTTTTCAATATAAATTATTTGTTTATTTTCGTTAAGTAAAATTGATAGGAATAAGGCTATTTAGTCATTAAATTTAAGGGAAAAAAGGTATTTTGGACAGTTTATGTATACTTACATTAAGTTTAATAACGAAAATATTTTTTTCCATCACTTTTACCTTATGAAAATAGATTAATAGTTTAGATTGAAAACAAATAAAAATATTCGAATTTAAATTGACTAAATTAAAAACTCACAATTTATTTTGTGAAGAGGCTCGAATCTTAGGATATCTATTATAATTTTCCCAAAAAAAATAATAATGAAGAATTAGAGATGGACTTACTCAAAAAAATCCCAAGGCCTCATACGTTTTTTACTTTAAACCCTAGTGCTTCAATTTCGACAAATTACACTCTAAACTTTTATCCGTATTTTAATTTACTCCCTCCGTCCATCTCCGTCTATCTAAGATAACGAAGATGGTTTAAAGTGAAAAACACCGGGGTTTATAATGAAAAATGCCTGAAACCTTGGGTGTTTTTGTGTAATTAACTATTTTTTAAAAATTAAAATCACTAAAAATAAAAAGGATTAATTACAAAATAAATTTCAAGATTTCACGTGTTTTTTATTTTAAACTTCTTTGTTACCTTACACAGGCAGAGATAGACGGACGGGGCAAATTAAAACATTGATGGAATTTCATAATTTAATTTGTCGAAATTAAAACACCGGAGTTTAAAGTGAAAAATAGATAAAATCTTATATATATATATATATATATTTGTAATTCATCCAATAAACAAATAAATAAACAAAAAAGACTTAGACCCCCTTTTGGTAGCTACCCCCATGACCCTCTCTGCCTCTTATTGGTTGAAATGTGTTAAATTTTTTTTTTTTTTTTTTCTTCTCCTCCACTCACTAACCTCCACATGTGTGTGGAGGGTGGTGGGGGTGAGAATCTGAGAGGATCTGTATCTGCTCTGATAAATAAAAAAAAGTACAAAACAAGGAACTGTTTCAACTAAAGAGTCCATCAGACGATACCATTTGCTAACATGCCCGGCCCACAACATTTACAAACTGGTTGAGTTTTAATTTTTGATTTGTTTTTAATTTAAATTATTTATTTCTTTTTGTTAAATAAGTCAAAGGAAAAAATTATATTTTGGTTACTAAATTCAATAAAAAAAAATTTATCTTAGATATTTTATATAGCATTTACATGGAGTTGAATGATTAAAAAACAATTCATCGATTTTACTTAATGAAAGTATGTGAATAATTTAGATAAAAAACAAATCAATATACTAAGATTTAAATTGATAAAATTAGAAATTAAAAATTTATTTTATTATAAAGGTCAAAACCTTAATTTTCAACCTGACATAAAATATAAATAAATGGACAACATTTTATAGAGTTTATGTGGAATTCATTTTCAAAAAAATTGATTCATTTATACACATTTTGGGTTTGTTTAGTTTGTATATCAAGATACAATTTTTGAAAAAAAAAAATTTAATTTTGTTTGGTTCAAATATTTTGAAAAAAATTTCCAAAATCATTTTCTCTCTCCTTTACATCAATCAATCACTTTTTCTCTCTCCTTTCTCAATCTCAGTCACTTTTTCTATCACATGCATCTACTTAACTACAATAAAATACTAAATCATCTCAAACTTTCAAACTTCAAAACTATTTTCAAAACGAAAAATGATTTTTCCCCACAAATTTGTCCCCCCCCCCAATTTGTCCCCCGAACAGCCTGAAATTTAGAAGAGAAAGAGAAAGAGAGAGAGAAAGAGAAGAGAGGGGAAGAAGAGAAGATGACAGCCGCGACAGCCCTCCGCCCGCCATCGCCTCCACCGGATCGTCGCCCGCCGTCACCTCGTCGCAGGTTGTCGTAGCCCCGCCGTCGCCTCCACCTCCGCCTCCCAACCCTTGCCTCTGCCTCCGCCTCCGCCTCCTGCCCCCGCCTCTGCCTCCAGCTCGATTTTGTTGGCCCCTCCAATTCTTCTTCTTCCAGTTCTTCTTCTTCTTCTTCCTTCTCTTCTTCTGATTTTCTTCTTCTAAAAAAAAAAAAAAAAAGTCAAAACGACGAAACGACGTTGTTTTTGAATTCGGGGGATTCGGGGGCCTCTCTTTCGAGCTACCAATCACTTATGTTTCAAAATATAAAACAAAACAAACCAAAATTTTTTTTAAACTTTCTCCTTAATTAATTAATTAATTTATTTTTTATTTTATTTTATCTATTTTTTAAATTTATCTCAAAATATAAACCAAACACATATCTCTAGGGTTCTGATGGATTTTTGTAGATATAAATTTATTAAAAAATAAATAAAGTTAGATAAGTTTTGGAGAAAGTGGGAGTACTACGAGAGATGGAGTGATGGTAATGGTGGGTGAAGTTAACAGATATCAAATTTTCTATTAAAATAAATGATCAAATATCTTATGTGAATGTCGGATTCATAATTTATGTAAGATATTTGGTCATTTATTTGATAAAAAAATTTAGAACTTATAATATTTTTATTATTTTATTACAAAGGTCAAACCTTAATTTTCAACCTGACATAAAATATAAATAAGTAGACAACATTTTACAGAGTTTACGTGGAATTCATTTTTTTTAAATCTGATTCATTTGGGAAGTTGGACTTGGGGAATTTTTTTTGGTTGAAATAGTCAAAAATAAATAAATAAAATAAATTTTTTAGTCTAATAAAATAAAATATCACATCTAATTCATAATTATTATATTTTTTCTCTTACAAAAAAATTAAAAAACCAAAAGTCCTTTCCAAATTAAACTTTTTAGTCCTAAACTTTTTAGTCCTTCCCAAAAAATCCACTGTCCAAACGAAACCTGTGTCTAGTATTGTGATGGATTTTTGTAGATATAAATTTACTAAAAAATAAATAAAGTTAGATAAGTTTTGGAGAAAGTGGGAGTACGAGATGGAGTGATGGTATTGGTGGGTGAAGTCAGCGGATTGCATAATGGTAGTTTGTTGTGGTTGGGAGAATAGACCGAAAGAGGTGTAAACGACAGAGAACGTGTTTCTATTTGCCTTTGCCTCTGCTTATAAGTATGTATTTGCTAATCAATTATTATTTAATATATATATATTTTTTTATTTTTTAATCTCCCAATATAATATCTCTCGTATTCATCTTCTTTACTAATCATAATATTATAAAATGTCATTTATTCATATTTCAGAATTACCGAATAATTACTGCATCATTGGTGGGTATTTGTGTCCTCCATCAAACAAGGTTGATAATAAAGCTACACACACAACACAAACAACAAATACAAGAAAAACTCACAAACCCACGAAACACAAACCCCTGAAGAACAAAGAAAACCAGAGAAATGTGCTGTTGTTGTGGTGAGGACTGTGAATGCAGGCCTTTGGGCTTTCTGTTGGGTCTGCCCTTTGCCTTCTTATCCCTCCTCCTCTCCCTCGTCGGCATCGTCATCTGGGTCGTCGGGTTCGTCTCTCTGTCTCTATCTAAATACAAATATTATACTCAATTCGGCGGATACTTCATAATTAATTTTTTTTTTAAAAATAAAATAAAATTTAGACTAAAATCATTGTATACTTTTTAATTAGTTTTCAATTAATGAATTCTAAAATTTGTTACTATTTTACGTTTTACGTTGCATCAGTGTATACATTAATTTGTGATTTTCAGGTTGGTGTTGAGCTGCTTATGCCCATGTTGCTTGTGCGTGACGGCGATAGTGGAGCTAGCTCTCTGCTTGATCAAGGCTCCCATTCATGTCATGAAGTGGTTCACCGATCAGATCCCTTGCTAGACGACCCCTCAATTTAGCATTAAAAATTCAATCATCCAAATTACTGATTTTTTATGAATGTTCTGTAAATGTTTATGAGAGCTCAGTTATATTGATGATCAAAGATTTGAGTGATCGTATCAGTGTTGATACAATTCATTTATAAATTTCTTTTTTTTTTGGGTCGTTGTCAAAGATAACTTTAGTATATTAATATAGTTAGATTATAACTTAAAGAATTTACTGTTACTCTATCAGATCGAACTCCTAATTTCTCTCCTACCACACCCTAAGGTGTGGCTACTAGATCATTGGCCAAAACCCAATTCTCCTTTCTTGGTAATTCACTAATTCTGTATTTGTTTCCAAGTAGTTGACTAGAATGTAAAAGCTCCGAACAGATAAGAGTCTGTTGAGTAATTCAGTATTCATTTGTTAGAATGTAAAAGTCCCAAAATTACCCATATGAATTTCTTCAAAGTTTATTTGAATTTCTATGATTGACATACTTTATGATTATTATGATTTGTTTTTGGTATTTTCTGGTAGGATTTAAGTTTCATTTTGTCTTTTAAACCATTGACATTTTTTTTATTTCATCTTTAAATTATCAATTTTATCTATTTAGTTTTTAAAGTTTCTAATTTTAGGTCATGTGGTCTAGTTAGAGAAAATTATACTTGTTGATGCCTAATTTGATGGCCAAAAATGTTATTTTAAACAGCCTGGGACCTCCACTGGGGGTGACCCCAGCACCCCCACTCCACATGGGAGAATGTGGACCAAGGAAGAAAAAAAAATGAAAAAAATTCAACCAATCACACCAATCAAATCAAGCTTCAATGATTACTATTTGTAAAATTACTCTTTTAGGCAACAAATTAAGTTTAAAGGGTTACTAATTTCATGAATTTTCTTTAACTAGTCATTACAAACTAAAATTATGAATTTCAAGTACTAAATAGATGTAATTAATAGTTTAAGGATGAAATAGACAAAGTGGTGATAATTTAGGAGATAAAGGTAAAATTAATCCTTTTTAGTATTTGGTATAATGAAAATGAGAGTCAAAGGAAATTGTTTTCCATAATCAACAGAAAATGCAGAAAATGTTTACCACTTCCACATAAAAGGTGACAATTATTATTAGTAGTGTTATGATATGAGGTTCTTAGATACTGCGTTCAATTGATCAGAACCTAAAGGAAAAAATGATTTTTCTCTCGTTTGTTGAATTGTTAGGAAATGTGTGTTTCACAATAACTATTTTTTAGAACAATTTATTTTCATATAAAAAGTAAAAGATTATGCATCATAGAAAAATTTGACTTATTTTTTACATAAATTTTATTGTGAACTAATAGTCACAAAGAAATAAATCATATCCAATCCAAGAACATTAAACCACATAATTTTTTCATTAAATCAATTTTATCGACCTATATATCATGTCTTGCTCACATGAAGTGAAACTTTGATCTGTTTGGTTTAGTTTTGAAAGATAAGTTTTTGAAAAAAGTTTTAAAAATTGAAAATTTATTTGATTATGATTTTTCAAAATAATTCTGGAATGATTTATATATATATATATTATTTATTTTTTTGTAGTTGAATAAATGGATGTGAGAAAAAATTGATTGATTGATTGATATATAAAATATGAGAGAATGAGAGAGGAGAAATGAGAAAGAAAAGTATTTGATTGATGTGGAAAAAAAATATAGTTTAATAAATGGATATGAGAAAAAAATTGATTGATTGATTAGTGTATAGAATGTAGAGAATAAGAGGGGAGAGAGAAAAAATATTTGACTGGAAAAAAAAAAAAAAAAAAGAGAAAGATAAAGGAGAGAGAAAAAACGATTTTGAAAACCATTTTAAAAAACCAAACATATTTTTTGATTTTTCAGTTCAAGAGTTAATTTAAAATTAAACCAAACACTGCCTAAGTTTTTGAAATTGAATTTTGTTTTCAGTCTAGAAGGGTTTTCATGAAGCACGATTGGTAAATTTATTTCATTTATCACTAAAAATGGAGAGAAACAAGTTGAATGGTTATAAAAATATCCCTTAAAATAAAAAAGAAGAAATCTTACTTATATCTCTCTCGTGTGCTTTGTTTTCTTACTCATCCAAAAATGATAGTGAAGAAATACAATCGTTTTTTTTTTCTTCACCTAAATGAGAAACCACAACCTTTTGTGTGTGTGTGTGTGTGTGTGTGTGGATGAAAGACAATTTTAATCTTTAAAATATGCGTTATTTGTCATTTTAGTCCGTCAAATTTTAATTTTGTCATTTTGATCATCAAAGTTGTCAATTTGAGTCAATTTAGTCATATCTCTAACGTCCGTTTACATTGATAACAGGAAAAGTATTTTATCCTTTGATAAAAGACAATTTTAGTTAAAAAAAAAAAAAAAAATTAACCAATCACACCCCAATGGAGGTATGAGGCTCTTCCCTATTTTAAATTTAAACAATTTAATCATATAACCAAACAACCGTCAAATTGGTCGTGAGGTGTAATTTGTTTAAAATAACAAAAAGAATGAGTATTTGATTGCATTAAAATGACCACCTGTCCAATCAAATCAAGCTTCAACAATTACTATTTGTAAAATTACTCTTTTAGGCAACAAATTAAGTTTAAAGGGTTACTAATTTGATGAATTTTCTTTAACTAGTCATTACGAACTAAAATTATGAATTTCAAGTACTAAATAGATGTAATTAATAGTTTAAGGATGAAATAAACAAAGTGGTGATAATTTAGGAGATAAAGGTAAAATAATCTTTTTTAGTATTTGGTATAATGAAAACTAGCATATCACTCGTGCTATGCACGGATTGTATTTACAATTATCTATATATGTAAATTGTGATTTTTAATTTTTTTTTAATGTCTTCTTTTTTTCCTTTTTTATATTATATTAAAGTTTAATATTTTGATAATAATCATATGTGTTGGACTTTTCAAGAAATTTTTTTTATACTTGTTCTTAATGTATTAAAATGTTATTATGAGGGATAATAATCATATGTGTTGGGACTTTTCAAAGAATTCATACGTGTTGAATTTCAAAGAATTTTTTTTATACTTGTTCTTAATGTATTAAAGTGTTATTATAAGGTTAAGACTTGAGAGTTGGGAGAAGTTAATAAATGCAAAGGTGTTTTTTTTAAATAAAAAAATCAAGAAATTTAGATTGGGAGATTGGAACTCCCACAATGTTTGGGGTTAAAAACCTTCTTTTACTTAATATATAGTATAGATGAGAGTCAAAGGATATTGTTTTCCATAATCAACAGAAAATGCAGAAAATGTTTACCACTTCCACATAAAAGGTGACAATTATTATTAGTAGTGTTATTATATGAGGTTTCTTAGATACTGCGTTCAATTGATCAGAACCTAGAGGAAAAATTGATTTCTCTCTCGTTTGTTGAATTGTTAGGAAATGTGTGTTTCACAATAACTATTTTTTAGAACAATTTATTTTCATATAAAAGGTAAAAGATTATGCATCATAGAAAAATTTGACTTATTATTTACATAAATTTTATTGTGAACTAATAGTCACAAAGAAATAAATCATATCCAATCCAAGAACTTTAAACCACATAATTTTTTCATTAAATCAATTTTATCGACCTATATATCATGTCTTGCTCACATGAAGTGAAACTTTGATTTGTTTGGTTTAGTTTTGGAAGATAAGCTTTTGAAAAAAGTTTTAAAAATTGAAAATTTATTTATTTATGAGTTTTGAAAATAATTCTGGAATGATTTATATATATATATATATTATTTATTTTTTTGTAGTTGAATAAATGGATGTGAAAAAAAATTGATTGATTGATTGATTGATATATAAAATATGAAAGAATGAGAGAGGAGAAATGAGAAAGAAAAAATATTTGATTGATGTGTAAAAAAAATATAGTTTAATAAATGGATATAAGAAAAAAATTGATTGATTGATTGGTATATAGAATGTAGAGAATAAGAAAGAAGAGAGAAAAAATATTTGACCGAAAAAAAAAGAGAGAAAGATAAAGGAGAGAGAAAAAATGATTTTGAAAACCATTTTAAAAAGCCAAACATATTTTTTTATTTTTCAATTCAAGAGTTAATTTAAAATTAAACCAAACACTACCTAAGTTTTTGAAATTGAATTTTGTTTTCAGTCTAGAAGGGTTTTCATGAAGCACGATTGGTAAATTTATTTCATTTATCACTAAAAGTGGTGCGAAACAAGTTGAATGGTTATAAAATATCCCTTAAAATAAAAAAAGAAGAAATCTTACTTATATCTCTCTCGCATGCTTTGTTTCCTTACTCATCCAAAAATGATAGTGAAAAAATACAATCGCTTTTTTTTTCTTCACCTAAATGACCTTTTTTTTTTTTTTTGTGTGTGTGTGTGTGCGTGTGTGCGTGTGTGGGGATGAAAGAGAATTTTAATCTTTAAAATATGCGTTATTTGTCATTTTAGTCCGTCAAGTTTTAATTTTGTCATTTTGATCGTCAAAGTTGTCAATTTGAGTCAATTTAGTCATATCTCTAACGTCCGTTTACATTGACAACGGGAAAAGTATTTTATCCTTTGATAAAAGATAATTTTAGTTCCTAAAGGATGAGTTTTTTGTCATTTTAGTTTTTCAAGTTTTAAATTTAGTAATTTTGGTTCTCAATGTTGTCAATTTGAGTTAAGACCAAATTGACTTAAATTCACAACTTTGAGGACCAAAATGACAAAATTTAAAACTTGAAGGACTAAAATGACAAGAAACGCATGTTTGAGGGATTAAAATTATCTTTTATCCATATTTCTATTATCAATGTAGATGGATGTTAGACCTAGGATCAAACTGACTTAAATTGACAATTTTAAAAACTAAAATGACAAAATTAAAACATAAGAGACTAAAAAAAAAAAAAAAAACAAGACATATTTTAGGAATTAAAACTATCTTTTATTTATTTATTTATTTATTTATTGACCCTACGATCCGAGCATAATGTTATTGTTTAGTTTTATTAATAAATCACAACAACATAACATTCATCACAAATGATAAGATAATTGTATAAATCACAACTTTGTATTGATTTGTAATGCTCCGAGAGCAATGCTCTACATGATGTACCAAGACATTTCTATTGCTCTTGTACAATAATATTTAAGAGGGGAATTTGTGCCGAACAAATATATTGAGCTAAATGGGCCTCGGCGTTGGATCAAG